TCCGGATCACTGAAGAAATGACATTTATTGCGCATCGAAAGCTAATTCATGAAGCTCTTTATGCATCTAAATGATGGGGAAAATGAGTGGATTAATTATTTGCCAACAGTAGCTTGAGGAATGGAATTAGTCGGGGGCACAAGTCAAGAAAACTCACCAAGGCATAGTAAGTGCTGCACAACAGCATTACAAATGTGGGCTGTGATAAATGATTAAAATTCCAGCGGGGCGCAATCAAAGCATTACGTACCACGATGATGACAACTGTCATTTCAAGGCCAAACTCTGAAGGAAAAAAAACAAAACATTTTACCTACACACTGATGTTAACAATTCACTACAGAAACTATGGTTTCCTGTGTTTCGCAAATGTGTGCCGTTTTTGTTTCAACACAAATGTACAGCGGGAGGTTAAGGGTGACACCCTCCTGGGGGACAGGGGTCATTTATACCCAATTAGACCTCTAGCTTGGTAAAAGAACATACTGACAAATACATTCATTAAATTCATGCATGACTGGTTGGTTGTTTTCGTGCACACACCAACACCCACGCCGGTGCATTGCACTGCCACAGAAACAGAATACAGTTGAGTCATTTACCGTGACTGATGGTCGAACAACAGCAGAAACTACTGCTTTGATTCGGTCTCTGGTGTATTGTATCCCACAATGCAATGGGGGGCCTTCATTGTAACTGTGATAAGGGAATAACTGGACCAGCTGGAAACCGTCGAACATTGAACAATTGAATAGCAGGGTTTGGTTGCCTAGTAACCATGACAGGAGCTGTTGATGATCTAGTCATTTTCAAAGTGCTTTTTGTGTTTTCTTGTTTTCTGAGACCTCTCCTGCCTCTTGTAGTTTAGATCAAGTAATAAAATAAATAGTGGACTACAATGATGTGCCAGTGGTTACTGACCTGAAGGAATGAAGCCGTAGTGGTGGGTATGGTCAAAGTTTAATCTCTTTATAATGGCTCATGTATCATGATGTAATTTATATTAGAAGTTTGGTTCTTCCCAGATTTTGCCATTAATGTCGTACAGAAGTGGAGTCACCAGGTTACCCATCTACACGTCTCTAATGGATTAAACACCCATCCACTGAGCCTTAGGCAAACAAGCTGTTTAAAATTCAAATTGATATGTTGATGACTGATAGTTATGGATATGAAGTATGCAAATATTTCAATTGAATATGCCTTTCAAAGAACAAAGTCACAAGTGTAAGTGAAGAACTTGTAAAACACGTAAACTGGACAAGTTAGGAGGTCAAGCCGAGGTAATTCAAACAACCATTCGGTAGCAGTGGGTTGGCTAGACGTTTCTTTAATCAAGAGGCTAATTGGGCACAGGCGTTATGTGTCAAGTGGAAACTCATCAGTATTTATGGAACTTACTTTGACACACTTCAATGTGGTGTTATGGATATTTTGGCCATTTCCTTGACTCTGATTAGGGGGATTCATTTCATGAAGTATTTTTGAAGAAAACATTGAATTTAATCTGTATTGAATCAGCCAAACTGTTCTGGCCTTGTTGTATCTGCTGTCCAAGTTGCTGCCCTTTAACTGAATGTGAGAAGTGCATAATCTTTACTCTACCCAATTTTCCTCAGTTCAGTCAGTCTCCCGCCGCAATGTCCTGACATTTTTTTGCCCTTTGACAACAATGAATTGCTTAGCTGCTGAACAGCTTGAGCCAGGTAGGCTCAAGCTGTTCAGGAGCTGGTGCAGCAGACAAGCAGCTTATTCCGCAACATGATCGTCAAAGAGCTTGCCGCACGCTGGCCTGGGCTGCAAGTTACACGAATGGCTTCAAAAAGAAAAAAAAACACCTGACCCCGTCTGTTGGTTCCTTTCCCGGCCTTAACGAGTGCACCGAGAGAGCGGGGTCAGTGTTGACAGCACATCACCATATTCATGACTGAGCATGCTCTGAATGCTAAAAGATACATTTATTTTCAGAGAGATGTTAATTGCTTCAGTATCAGACATAAAAAAAGTTCCTAATTGGTATTGCAATACAGGCCTATCATGGTATTGTCACCACTAAATAAGCCTGTCATAGATAATGTTCTTAGCTTACCTGCACTGCCATAAAAATGTGCCATAAAGAAAATGGCAGAAACCGTGTGATAATTTACCTTGATAGGATGATAAGAGAAAGTGTTCAGGCAGCTATAATGGGAGTCCACGTGCTTAGCACAACTAATGAATATCATTCCAAATACACTTTTGAAATATGAATCCATTTCAAATTCAACACAAATTGTATGCATCTGACAGGAGCACACAGTGAATCAGTATCAAATGAGGAAGAGACCTCACTTTTCAGTTGTTGTTATATTTTCAAAAAGCAAGTAAAATCAAATCAATAACCACACGATGTAAGGAAGACAATTTCGAAATGTACCGAATTCCAATTTAACATTTTAAAAAACCTGGTTGATATTGTTTGTCAGACCGAAGCACCATTGACAATGAATGCCCCAGTGGATAGAAGCATGTCGTTGATCCAATGACAAGTGTCTGAAAGGACTATTTGTTATTAGAACGTGACATGAAAAAAATCTTCAAAGACTAGGATGGAACTGACACAGTCTGGTTTTAGTGCTGGCAAGGAAGATAAAATTACTTTTTTTAAATGGATTCATTTAAGTTCAGATGCAAATACAGAGCTTTCCAAAAATAAGACGATCTGTGCCAGGGTGTGGAATGTGTTTCGGTTGAGGTTAATTGATTGAGACATTACTTCTTTTTATAAATAGGCAATTTATAATTTCTTTAGGCTACACGCCAATGTCTAGTTCTCAACTAAAAGACTGTATACTGTGTGCTTGTTGAAAAATGTATTATTTCTGAATACATGCGAGTTGGCAGAAGCTGCTTGGTCCATAACCTTTTCTCGGTGTTTGTTAACTCAAGTAGGTCGAGTGCTTCCTGGAAGCTTGTGACAACGTGGGATCTAAATCTCACATTTAACTTGTCACATCATACCCGCTCTCTTTATTTCCATTCCTGCCACTGTATGCAAGTAGAAATGCCACAAAAACAATTTTAGAAAAAGAAATTAAAAACAGCCAAATGCAGCCTGGGTCTCTAAACCCATGAATCAATCGTTTCATCCTCTCCACTCAGCAAACGTACCCGGAGCAGATGATTCTGGGTGCACAGAGGTTGTAGCAGGCAGTTCAATATTAAATCCAACCAACTACGCTTGCATCTCATAAAGCAGCCGTCTAAGCAAAGCTGCACTATTATTCATGTCACCACCGGCTACATTACGACTCCAGCAGACGTCACACAGACACATTTCTTGGTGGCGCCGCTGCTGTCAGAGTGACTGGTCTTATTATCCCTTTAGAAGAAAATGAGTTAATTTCTTTTTTCACATAGAACCGACTGTCCATAGTTCATTGATATATCCATCACCGGCATCATGGGTGTCGTCAGCACACACGCACTGGGTTAGTTAGGCACGACGGGAAATAGTGCAGAACACCGTCTTAAAACTTCTTAAATACCTGTGCTACTTACCACTTCAAAGGCTCTCTATACGGCTGTGTAGTGAGAAAGTGTACTCTCCCCATTTGGTCCCAGACATTTCTAATCAACAGAAAACTAAATCCAGCAACCGTGGAATAATTGAAAATGTGCTTAGTGGAACCCACTTAGATTTATGAGAGCCCCTTCGCTACCTATTTATTTTCTGAAAGCGCCTGTGTTTTATGGTTTTCACACACACACTTTTTCTCCCGGCTGCTCTCTTAATCAAACGGTGTCTATATGGGAGGTGTGAAGCCGTTTTGTGTGTTGGACACACACACACACACACACACACACACACACACACACACACACACA